CCTATGGGACTTGGCCCTAGTTAATAATTTTCTGCTGAAGTCAAAAGTTCCCAGTGTTCGGTTTTAAAGCTGCTTTCATTAATTCATGGCCAGAGTAAACCCATGGGATTTTTGAAGGTACAGCAAAAATGGGCTGCTTCACAAGTTCAGCCGAAATCTAGAAATAAACTAAAAATGTGTAGTAACCAGGACTTTTTGTGATAGTACTCACTAGCAGAGAGTACTGGCACTTCTTATTTTGCTGCTGTCAGCAGCCATTTTGTGCTGGCACCCACGGCACTTTTATCAATATATGAGTACCACCAGAAGTTCTATTTTAAAAAAAAAAAAACAAAATCCCCTAGGATCCGATTGATATTAAATACTAAAGAGGCTGCCCAGGTCTAAGGATATGAAGTTGTGCTCAGTTTGAAGTACTGTACTTGGTTTTTTTTGCAGCAGTTTCATTTGATTGTAGATTCATTCCAGTAATTCATACGCCTTTAAAAATGATTACTTATCAAACCAGGACTATTTCTAGGAGGGGAAGAAACTAGTTCTAAAGAAAGAGTAACGTGTACATAAAGCACTGGAACAAAGTCAGATAGTGGCAGTTTTCTCAGAAATGTGACATCATGGACAGTTTTCTTCCAAACCCACATCGAAAACAAGTGTTCTCCCCACCCACCCAAACTGGCTTGCCAAAGTTTTGTTGTGAGAAAGTCATGCCTCTGTGAAGTTTTATCTAAAATGCCTAACTTCCCAGCTTACTAATTAGAGTGTATCTTTAGATGTGGGAGGATTATTTAAAATGAAAGACAGTTCTTTTATAAAGGTGCTTCGATGGCTCCCCGACTGTGAAGGAGGGAAGCAGCAGGAGACAAGTGAAATTAGCAATAAAGTCCCCATAAACTTCAAAGGGAGCAGATATCATCCATATGGCAATGAGACCAAAGGTGCCACAATCCCTATTCGGTCTTGCTAGCGCCCAGCTTTTAAAACAGGACCTCAATGATGAGTGCAGCCATGGTTGGAGCGCTGCGAGATCAAAAGCTCAAAAGTTAAGAGATGCTTCAGGGCTAGGTCATTATTTTCTATACAACAGCAACTTCCTGCAGCAGATGATAATTTGAAACAAGCAAACCTCGCATGCTTTCCTCTCTTATCTGGAACCAAAAATAATAATAATTTCAATAAGATTGTTATTGGATTAATGTAGGAGGAATGAAATTTCACAGAATTCTCCGTTTTATCAGCCAAACGAAGAATTCTGCATCACTCTAAAGAATGCATATTCTTCTACTGACAGAAACTGGTCTAATACTTTACTTGCTTGGTATAACATTACTTGGTACAAGCCCAGAAAAAAGTTTCTATATGCTAAATGAGAGGAAGAGATTGTTGTCTAATAAGAGCTGGCACTGCTACAGGTGCCACATATACTTGTTCCGCATTTGTAAGGAATTTGTATTTTAGTTTGGCAGCACCCCTACTTTGGAACCCTCTCTGTATTGATGTCAAACAGGTGCCTTCCCTGCAGTGGCGTAGCGTGGGGGGTGCAGGGGGGGCCGGCCGCACCGGGCGCAACATCTGGGGGTTAGGGTTAGGGGGCGCAAATCCACGGGTTAGGGGGCACAAATTACTTGTCTTTCCCCGGGTGCTGACAACCCACGCTACGCCACTGCTTCCCTGTACTCTTTTCAGTGCCTGCTAAAAACTTCCTTTGTTTAGGCAAACCTACTCAGATACGTAGAATGTTGGCATGTGTTTTGATCTGGTTCTTTAGTTTATCTTTGATTTTAATTATTCTTTAAATGTTTTAATAGCTGTTTTTAACTACTTTTGTTGATAATTTTACTGGGTTTTCTCCTCGTTGAAAACTGCTTTGAGGGGTTTTTTCTTACACTCAAGTAGTATATAAATTTTACGAAATAAATAAATAAATGAAAGGAATATAATGCATTGTGTGGGTCAGAGGCGTTGGGAGAATCATTCCCCATTCCTGCAGAATTATTTATTTTTTTGTCATTCTTGGAGAACCTTTACATATAGGTCATCCTGTTTCATGTCCAAAGCACTTGCCCAGGGGCATGGATTAAGGCAGGGAGACATATTCTAGCTACATCAGAATCACATAGTTTAACCTTTGAAGTATGGTTTTCAGGCTGCAACTTTAAATTCCCGTGGTGCAATGAGAAATCAGGTATCCATGGCATTTCCTGCCCATTCCTTCCCTGCTCTTCTTCTGATAGCTGCCACAAGCAGGACTCCAGGTAGACAGGATGGATGAAAAGACAGGTGGAAGAATGGGCTAGAAAAGCTGTGGCTACGTGAGGCACCAGCAAAGTACCATACAGATCTCTGGGTTGCCACCAGGGAAAGCTTGTTAAGAGTTGATGAACTCATTCTAAACCCTGGAGAGCTACTGCCAACCAGTGTAGAGAATACTGAGCTTGATTGACCAATGGTCTGACTCAGGGCAAAGCAGTTTCCTACATATATTCCAAATCAAGACCCCCACTGTGAGGGAGAAAGGGATAGGCTCTAGGCTTGAGGAGACACTAGCCAAAGTGCCCTCTGGTGGGTGGAGCCGCCATTTTAACTTCCCACAAGCTGTCACTCCAGGGCATCGCGGGAAATTAAGATGGTAGCTCACAGGTTGGGTTAGCTAGCGGGAGGTGCGGAGGCAAGATGGGAGTCAGTGCTGGTGGGCTTTGCAAGTGGACAGGGGCCTGAGAATGTGCAAACAACCAAGGTTAAAATAATCCTTAACAGATTTCAAGCACTGTGTGTGTATGTGTTAGTTTTTTTAATTTGCTCAGTGCATATATTTCAATGAAGAGGTTTATCCTCATGTGGGCAGTGGTAAATTAAAAGTCAAAGCCTGTGGATGAGCTGGAATTTTATGCTTCCCCGCCCTATTTGTTTCTGTTTCCTTCATTAGTGCCAATATTTAATTGTTTGCCTTTATTATTTGCAATAAGCTTTCAAGTCCACTGAGGAAGATGAGTCTGAAAGACAGGTCTGACCTTTTTGTAATGTGTCTATGCTTAAAATTTTCTGATTCATTTACTTATTTGCAATAAATTTCTGTTGCATGTTTTACTTTAACCCCCTTTTCAGCTGCCTGTCTTAAGACACCAAGTGCCTGGAGGGAGAGTTCCTCAAGCACCGTTTTTCAAACTTTCCCCCTCAGTGAAAGTCCCCCACCCCCCAAAAAAGCTTTTTATTTGCTGCTAAGGACCCTTGCACTTCCTCTGCCATGGGACCTCAGCTGCATCTACAGAGGATTACAGAGTATGTTCTGGGCTAGAGCACACACGCAGTTCATCCATTGCAATGGCCAGGCATTGGGTATCGGCATCGCCTCATATAAACTGAACCAGGAACACACCCCTATAACTGCACATGGCAGAGAAATATTAGCAGTGATGGGCAAGTTTATCTTTCAGGAAGCCTTGCCTGCCATTCCTGATTTTCACCCTGAATAATCCCTGATAAGCTCTGAAGGAAATCACAGGTTCCTTAAGACACAGTTTGAAAGCAAGTGAACTGAAACATCCTGCAAGAGATGCTTATCTAGCCATTTTATGGGGAGGAGGAAAAACACCTTCCGTGGAAAGACAGAGCATATTTCTCCCTCTGTGACACTGAAGCGCTGCTTCTTACTTCAGAAGCTGCCTCTCAGGTCTATAAAACCCAGCCAGTTTAGTTTTCCAAAACTACTGATATACCATTTTCCCGATGTCTTGAGGAAGGACCGTGCAAGACTCTTAATGAAGGTTTTGGGGTAGGAACTATGCTGCCCTGCTATATTTCCTGTGAAAGTGCAATTTATAAATATTTTAATGTTATTATCGTTATGATTAATAATAATAAATATAAATCCCAGATCACCCATTGGCACCCAGAAAGTTTGCTGCTGTAGTCTTGGAATGTTGACTCCCCCTTATCCAAAATGTTACGGTGAGGTCCTAAATCTAAAGGCGCATGAGGGCACCCCCTTGCTGAAGCTAAGCAGGTCTGAGGAGCCAATCCTATGGCAAGATCTGCCATGGATCAGCCCAAAATATATGTGTAATGTGCTCATCTTGGATCAGCTGGCTGAGCTGAATCCACAGTAAGTCCCCCCCCCAAAAAAAAAAGTGTGTGAGAGGGCTGGACCAGAATGGAGGGGAATTAGGCTGAATCCTAAGCCTGTTCAGTTCGATCACATGACCAGGAAACCTATTTTAAAGGCTTGTTTCCCCTCTGCCAGCCTTAGGCAGAGCAGCAGCCCTGTTGCTGACCAGGGTTTGGTTCTGGCATAACTTTGCATTCTCTGAACTTGCACCAGCTGGCATTATGCCAGTTTCTCGTGCAGGGGATTGCTCCCTGGGTCTGGTTAGTGCTTGGATAGGGTAATCCTCTCAACAAGCATCTTTGCTGTCCCACGCTGCCTTGGGAACCCCACCATAGCTGTCAACCTTCCCTTTTTTTTGCGGGAAATTCCCTTATTCCAGCACCATTTCCCGCTGCTTCCCACTGCTATCCTGGATTGTTAGATATCCCGTAGACTGTCCCCAGGAGAGGTAAGGCTGCTGATCCCTTATTTTCACATATGTGAGCTGACAGCTATGTACCCCACACACCTTCCCTTGGGACTTCCTGGCAGACGAAAAGGCAACACAGAACTGCAAGAAAGTAACTGAGCGGAGCAATCATTTCTGCTCTGTAGGAGTTACTGAGAAATAGCTACCCTTGGTTTAAAGGAGGTGCGCCCCTTTTCCTGCCCCATCCCCACCTTTTTCTTTCTTTCTTTCTTTTGCAAAGGGGAAAGGTGAGGTGGACTTTGACCGATGGTTGTTTCCAGCGTGACACCAGCACTTGGCAGAAACTGGTGGCAAGGGAACCATCGCGGTGATGAAGATGGCGAGGAGGAAGAAGACAGGGAGCATTGCAGAGAGGAGGACAGAGACGGGACACACTCGGACGGGACACCGTCGAAGAAGGGGGGGGTTAAGAATAAGATTTCCTCCTACCCTGAAGGCTCCCTGAGTGAGTCTGCTGTGTACCTGCTTTGCTCCTCCATGCTTCGGTTCTCGGCCGCCCGCCACTCGGGCATGGTGCTGGCGCAGAGCACCACCATGGAGACGATGACGAAGAGGATGGAGACGGTGGCCAGGATCTGCGCGGCCAAGGAAGAGGTGGGCTCCTCGAAAGTCCTCCTCATCCTCTCCAGCCACTTCTTCTCGGCGCCGGGCGGGGGCGCTGCGCGGTCGCTGCCCTCCTCGGCTTCGGCGCCGGCGCCGCCTCGGCTGCTGCTGGCGGTGGTGCTGCCGCTGCTGCCCCAGGCCGCCCCGGCGGCGGGCTCGGCGGCCTGCAGGTCGTCGGCCGAGTAGGAGGTGTAGGTGTCGGACATGCGGTCGTCGAGGCGGCGCTGGCAGCAGTAGTCGAGGTGCGACGCCTCGAGGCCCCAGTAGATCATCTCGTTGTAGAAGGAGAGCTCGCACATGTGGGGCACGAAGCGCAGGTGGCCGTAGCGCACGTAGAGCATGATGAAGCCGAAGGCTTCCGAGTGGCGGTCGAAGAAGTACTCGTTGCGCTCGCGGTCGTAGTCGTCGCAGACCTCCAGCACGTCCTGCTCCGACAGGCAGCCGTGCAGGCGGCTCAGGCGGCGCAGGGGGAAGTCCTTCAGCACCTCCCGGGAGAACGAGTAGCGGGTGCCCCCCACGTTCAACACCACCACCGACGGGCCCCCCCGGCCAAAGTTCATGGCTCGGGGGGCGGGCGCGGGGGAGGGCGGAGACGGCGAGCGGGGGAGGACGGGCGGCTCGCGCGGCACCTCAGCAGCCCCGAGGTGCGCGCCGGGGAAGGGCGGGGTCCTCCTCCTCCTCGCTCAGCCTCGAAGCGGCGCCGTCTAGAGCGCGCGCTTCAATGCCTCTGCCCTCCGGCTCTTTCTTTTCGCGCCTAGGCGTCGTCCTTTCGGAGGGGCGGCGTCCCGTTCCCAAGCGGAGCGCGCGCAGCCCGGCCCCCCTCGGAAGGGAAAGAGAGCGGGGCGCCCGAAGGAAGAGCGCAGCGGCAAGTGAGAGGGGGGCTTCACCGAGGGGCGGCGGGCGACTCCGTGCGCCCCCGTCGCGCGTCGCCCGGCGCTGGCTGTGGCGAGGCGCCGCCGCGCCGCGAGAGAGCCCAGGCGGGCTTCGCGAAGGGCATGGCAGGCAGGCGAGGCAAAGTCCCGCGAAGTTTGGACAGCTCCGGGCTGCGCCGCGCAGCCTTCGAGGCGCCGCTCCCTGCTTCTGTGGCGCGCGGCTCGCGAGGCTGAGAGACACGGCGGCGCGTCTCCTCGGAGTGAGGGCAGAGGCGGCGGGGAAGGGACACGCCTCCTCCCTCCCGCCTCCCCTCCCGGGCGGAGAGCGAGCCGAGCTGCCTCTCTTTCCCGCTCGGCGCCGCGCGGAGAGGAGGACCGAGGCATCTGAGCAGAGGCTGCTCTTTTACTTTCCTCGAGGAATCAAGGACCTGGAGCGCGAGAGGAGGGCAGGTTTCACCGCCCGCCTTAACCGTGTTCTAGATATTTATTCCATACAATATTTACATTCGCATTCCCCCTGTCTGCTATTCCCAGATGGCTTTTATAGGAACTGCAACTTAAGAAACAAAACAACTGGTCCTCGAGTTCGCAGTTTTCCTTACCTGTCCCCCTTCCTTTCCCCTTTTGAGTCATGTCTGAAGGCAGTCACTTAGTCACTCTTTATTGACCTGTTGTCGGCTGCTGTCTGTGGACGCCCTTTGGGAGTGGGGCAACAGGACTTTCCATAAACATCTATTTCAAGTTCTTTTTCGGGCAGCCCCCCCCCCATTATCTCCCTTAAGTGGCTTCACTATAATTGACTTAAAAGTTTCTCTTTTTCCAAAGGCAAAAGCGTTTTACAAAAGGCAAAACAGGGCTGAGTGTGTAAGAATCGAGGGAACACTTAAGCTGGCATAGCAGCAGGGTGGTGGTTGTTGTTTTAGCACAATATGCCCACTATAAGTGGTGATTACAGGGCTGAATACAATTTCCTCCTATTCCTGTCCATGATCATGGGACTGAGTGGAGAAGCGGAATTGCAAGTAGTCAAGAGAAGGCAGCCAATGATTCTTGCAAAAAGATGAAGCAGTCAGGTCCTTCCCACGGCTCCTGGCTGGAAAGGGAGGGGAAAAGCATCATAAACAAAACCGTTGTTTTCTCCTAGAGTGAGAGGATGTCAATGGGGAAGGGTGAAAAGCACACATTCATCTATCAAGGGCATGCTTGAAAAGTCCTGAAGCAGAAACATTTGATCACTACCTTTCCTGCTGCTTGTTTAAAGCACCTGGAAATCAAATGGGTTTGGATACACACACAGTTTTTCCATATTTGTATTAGATCTACAGTGCATACAACCAAGTGAAAACAGAGACACTCTGCCCTTTCTCTCTGCTGCATGTAATCTCTTTGGTGTTTTATTATTTTCTAAGAGTCCCCCCCCCCCGTTTTAGGGCAACCCATGTCTACTCAGAAGTAAGCCCTATTGAATTCAGTGGGGCTTACTCCCGGGGGGGGGTTAGGATTGCAGCCTTAGAAGACAGTATCTCCAGTATCTTTTAAAAGTGCACACAGTGGAGAAAGAATGGAGTTCAAAAGGCTTCTTTCTATCTCTGATTTATATTTATAGCCCTTGCAGCATCATATCTCTGTGCTTTTTTGTCCTTGCTTTTTCTCGGCACCTACAGTGTTAGTTCTTGCCTGTCTTGTCTTCACAGCCCTTTTATAGCATTGCTTGTTGTAAATTATAACAGTACTTCTTTTGATGAAATTGGGGTTCCCTGTTGGCTAGAAAGAAAATCATCTTCTACTGAATATGAGCTGCTGTTTGAGGACCAGTATGGTAATAGGACAGCAATAGCATATTGGATAGGAGACCTGTGCTTAGATTTGACAGTCACTTAACTTTCAGCCTGACATGCCTGACAGAGTTGTTGCAGGAGAAAAAGAAGGGACCCTGGGCAGCTTGGAGGAAGGATTGGATAAAGATGGAATAAACTCTCCCCTGGTGTGATAACTGCCTCTTTAACAAGAAGGATGCCTCCTACAAACCGATGCCAGGCTTTTGTGGATGATTTCCTTGTAAGCTTTGCACCAACAGAAAACGAGGGGGAGAAATCTATGAACTGATTTATAAGATTTCTAAGTAGCTGTTTTTATATACGTGATGTGATCGTTTTGCCTCTGTTCTCTTTTGCGAAACACATCATGCATGTGTAGGAGGAACAAATGAGGGGTGCAATGTTTTTATTTATTCATTTATGTATTTATTATTTGTTTATTAAGAAACAACACTGAAGAAAGTCAGCTGTCTGAGGAAAGAATAGGGTGCTAGAACCTGCCCTGTCCCTCCTGGCCTGGACATTGTCTCCTGCTCTGTTTCTGGATCTCATCTGGGGGGGCGGGTAGTGATGGGAGAGAGCTTCCGGGGCAGGGGCTGCTGTATCTCAAGGGTGAAACAGCAAGAATCTAGATGACTACATTCTAAGAACAGTTAACTTGAGCAAATTGTGCTTCAGCTTGCTTTTTCTTCGTCCTTCCATTCCATTTTCCTTGTGTGTCTTTGGTTTTCTTTAGATTTTGATCCTGAACGCAGGGACTGTCTTAGCAATGATTTTTTTCTCAATGTGAGAGCCTTTTGTGAGAGCTGTATACATGCCATAAATAGATAATAAATTTGTATCCTGCCTTTCCACTCCAAGACACAGTAGCTAATAGCAATAATACAAATACAATTTGAAATGTATTGAAATACAATAAAGCAGCATTGCAATACAAAGTAACACAGGGAGAGAGAACCAAAGGTAAAACATCAATAAAACCAATCAAAACCAGTTAAAAGAGCAATGGAAGATATTTGGAAGTCAAGCTTACAGGCTAAAGACCTGTCCAAATAAAAGCTGTTTTTGTCTGTTGGCGAAAGGTTACCAGAGATGGGGCTGGCCAGGCCTCCCTTGGCAATAGTACCTGAGAGAAGGCACCAACGCCTTCAGAATCAAAGCAATTGAAGAAGAAAGCAGCCTATTGAGACTGACTCAGAGTGAGATTCAGAGTTCTAATCAGGGATGGGAAATCTGCAGCCCTGCACTTGTTGCTGCACTCCAACTCCCATCATCCCTAGCTGGAGCCAGTGGGAGATGGGAGTCTAACAACACCTAGAAGACCACAACTCCACCCCTCTACTCAACAATTAAAGAGAGTACATGGAATTACAAGTTCAAAAGGAACAAAAAATCTAGCTTGGTCTGGAGAAAGGCATTCATATTTATCAAAGCAATAAAGGCATGATTCCTGCTCCAGGTGGGTACACTTAGCCTGTTAATGCCTCTGGTCAAACAGTTTTCTCAAGTTTTTGTATTGTTTCAGAAACCTGTCATGGACTTATTCTGGGTCAGATCTTTGGTCCATGTAGTTCACCACTGGCTACAATGACTGGTTGCTTTCCAGCAGCCTTTCTCAACCTGTGGGTCCCCAGATGTTGTTGAACTACAACTCCCATCACCTCTAGCTAGCAAGGCCAGAGCTCAGGGATGATGGGAGTTGTAGTCCAACAACATCTGGGGACCCAGAGGTTGAGAACCACTGTGTGAGTTTCCAAGATTTCAGGCAGGAGTCTCAGCCTTACCTGGAGAAACTGGGGATTGATCCTGGGACCGCAGCTCACCCCCAAAGGAGAATCCAGACTTGCTTTGCCATAGGAGATAGTGAAAGAACAACAACAAACAAAAAGTTTCTATCATAGACAACTCTCTGAAACAACTTTATTCATTCATACCCCACCTTTCTCAATAGAACTCAGGGCAGTATGCATAGTGTTCCTGGAAAACACCCCATCCTGGAAGTAAGAAGACCCTGACCCAGCTTCCAGGGCTGGACCACGGGGTTTTCTTGCCTAAGGAAAATAGCAAGGTGATGCCCCCTTTCCAGTCCACAGGCAGAAGTTGGTTTGACTGATAGCAGAAGCTCATGTGACACTGTGATAGACACCACATCACATAAGTTGCAGTAGGGCACAAGCAGCTGCATGGTGCACCACTTCTGTCTTCCAGCAGAGGTTGTACGCAACCTCAGCGTCGTGCCAGATCCACTTACCCTGACTATGACAGAGCCATCTGAGGGGTTGCTGCAGCTTGTATCTTCACGACCATAGAGATCTTAAAAACAGTCTGTCTCCTGCTTTGTGAAGTAAGCACTATCAAGATCTTGCACTTGTAGAAGGCACTATGGAAAGAGGTGGGTTGGGTTTTGCAATCTACCTGCCCACTATCCACATATATCACACACTCCTTCTTGGGAACATCACCCAACTCTGCTGCAAGGAGGGGCAACTCAGGTTTGAGGGGGGAAATGTGGTGCTCCGTGGTTTTCTTTCTGGTCCTTGGGACCCTCTCCAAGTCATGTCCTTCACCAGCCCTGCTTTGCATTCCCCTTGAGTGTTTTTCCTGGGCTGGATTGTGCTCTTGAATGATGATATTGCTTCATCCTTGTCTGGATGGAGGATAGGAATGGTGTGGGTGTGCAGAAAGTAGCCTACCGCTAGCTGACCACCACTGACATGTGGCTCCAGAAGGTGGTCCAGAAGGGAAGGTGGTCCTCAGGCTGTAAAAGGTTCCCATCCCTTACCCTTGTGGTGGCCACTGCTGGATCAAAAGCCATTCTTTGAGCCTAAGGACTCCAGCTGGAGCCCACACATGATCTGTTAATTCACAATGCACAATATGCCCCTCCCTGCTCCAAGAGTAGCCCATCTAATCCAGACCACAGCAAACATGGTGCAGTGTGCCAGATGATGTGACAGCCTTCTGGCAAAACTTGAGTACTCTCTTTCATGCCTCATTATGTTATGTCCACTAGAGGTCACAGTTAGAGCCATTTTCATCTGTTCATTTAAGAGTGGTGTGTGGTTTGTGTGTGTATTTTTGTGTGTGCGTGTGTGCCAATGGGACGGGGAACCCTGTGCTCAAGGTTTCCAATTAATTTTATTTCCTGATCCAGATTCTGAGCAGATAGCAAGTCTTGCCCGCTGCATTCAGGAGATTGAAAAGCACATTTTAATGTTGTTGGTAGTTTAGCTCTGTGCATTATGGGGTGTTGATGCTTTCTTTCGTTCAAGGTTACGGCCGGCACAAGACATTAATGCCTCAAGGTTCTGTAATTGGGCTGAGGAATGACAGATGTACAGTCACTGTGGAGTCGAACAAGCGTAACAGTATTATCTCGTATTTTTATCTCGTAAGATTCAAAACTGTTAAAACAGCCAGTTAATGAACAATTTCAAAAATTGACGAATGATTGAAACACCCCCTAATG